CCGCCAGCCAGAGAGCACAATGGGAGAGACTCATGCACCTGTATAGGGAATTGAGGGTGACCTTGTTAGACTACAGTGAAAGTGGAGGGCCATGGTCCCCGAAAGTTTGGATCCTCTACTGTGTGGGAATTTGAGAGCAGGGAGATGGGACTGGGAGGATGTTTAGGAGGAAATTAGGAGGAGTGGGTATGGGATAAGGGGTTTTGGGGGAGAATGGGAGAGGAGATAACATTGAAAGGTAAATTCGTATAATATCCAATAAAAAAACCCCACACAGATAAAGGGTCTAAAAAAAAAAGAAAGGAGAGAGTTTACTTATTTTAAATTAATTTCAAAAGTTTCTAGGAGTTGCTAATTGGCTAAGATCCTATTTTAAGCTCTCCATAAAAGAATTTAAGTCTCTGTTCAATATCCTCAAGAGAGAGGTAAACCCTAATTTTCCTCAACAATTAATTGACAAAAGAGAGGTAATTTCACAAAAAGTAGAAGTTATTACTAATCGATATATAGTCTGATTAGTTGTCGGCGGTGCTATAACAGTCCTTTGACAAAAGATTATTAATATAGATTTATATATCCTTAAATAGGGTCTTCATGACTCTCTGAGTGTGGAAGGATTGACTGTTGGCACTTCTGCCCTGATTTTACAAGAACTCTGAAAAATTGGCTTTAAAAACAAAAGAGGGGGAACGGTACCCCCTCAGAAGGAGTCCCCCTGAAATACTCTCCATCATGCCTTGTTCACTTTTATCTCTCTAAAGCTGAAAGCTCATGGCAAATCTGCTGCTGACTGCCTCTGGCACCACCAAGACCAACAAAACTTTGCCACAGATATGAGGAAGTACCCTCTTACCCTTAAAGGGAATGGCCCAGACCCAGTTCCCTTATGGGGCCGAGGACTGATATGCCTGTCCGATACCACAGAAGGCACAGCTAACTGGCTACCAAAAAGATTAATGAAAAAAATAGATACCCCCACAAAGCCAGGCCCAACCATAAATACGATGAATAACAATTTACATCCAGGGAAGAGAAATCTCCCTGAGAATCCCCTTCTTTTTCCTTTCCAGGTAAAAATGAATCACCCGTGATGTCTGCGGTTAGAAGTTCTAATCCAGATGCTGGCCTCCGAACTTATACTACTCAGACCTTTGATGGGCCACTGACAAGAATATCAAACAGCTAGAGATTGACATCACTAATCTGAAGAAATCCCTCGTTTCGCCGTCTGAAGAGACCTCCTAAAATTGCAAAGATCCTTATTGGACTTGATTTACTCTAGTACAATAGAAAAGACTGTATACAGCTCTTGACTGTGTAAAACCCTCAAAGAAGAAGGTTGCCTTTACATAGACAAGACAAGGAGGGTTAAAGAGAGCATGAAATAGGTAGTGAAGCCTAAGAAAAATCAGAGAGAGAAAGAGACAGATGAATGCTGGTACAAGAATTGATTTGCAGCCTCTCCAAGGTTGTCAACCCTATTTCCTTCCATCTTGGGACCATTATTTGGGTTCTTTTTGCTTTTTTTCTGCTGGTCCCTGGCTCTCAAATAGGCGGACTAACTCTGTGATACAACAGATAAATAATTTGGTAGCAAAACCTACTCAGATACATTATCATAAATTAGCTATGGAGGACCACGAGACACAAGATGAGGTTGTTACTTTATACAGGGTGTTTCCAAAACTCATCTCCACCCAACCTAAAAAGGGGGGACTTCTGCCCCTAGACCAAGCAGAGAGGGGACACCCAGAACCCCCTCTGATAGGTGATCTGAATTCTTGCTTAGGCTGCGAGGCTAAGCACTGCAAGGGAATATCAATAAAAGATAAAAATGTCTGTCTGGGTTCCCTGAGGGACAAGCCTGACTGCATAGGGGTTGATGTCAAAAGTATCCCCTCTCCAGGAAAAAGACATCGGAATGGGTATGGCCCGCATGCCTCACTGGACAACGACAGGGGGACTGGAGCCATTACAAGGTCCCCTTCAAATACTGGAGGTCAGGCCTCTATCCCCGCCTTTGCAAGTTTAGAATTGCCACAGCCCTTCTATACTTAGAGAAGGGAGGAGATGTCAGGGGCAGCCCTGCTTACACACTGTAGGCCTAAAATCAGCCATAGGCCTAAAATCAGCAGTGGGCCTGTCATACATGTATACTAACACCAAGTCTTGGGTCTCAGTGGAAGAACATTGAAACAGATGGCTATAAGCTAATGTCAACGGGCAGCTTTTGTGGAAATTTATAAGCCTGAATGGTCATGGACCTTGTAAATAGGTAGCCTTGGCAGATAATACCAGCTTAGATGGGGACAAGCGAGTCATAGGCAGAGTAATGGGGACTTGTCCCCTGAACCTTCACCCAGCCGATACCCGGTTCTGAAGATATCTGTATGCCCCCTGAGCACCCACACTCCAGTGTCATTCCCTTCCCCACGTCCTGCCTTTCTGTGATTATACCCCTGGGTGAATTAATTATGATTTGAGAAAAAATTTTAAAAAAAGAAGTGATATTAAAAAAAAAATCCAGTTTGACTTTAGTTCTTTGGTGCTTGGGTTATGTTCTTTGTGACCAGAAGTCTATTTGGATCTGAGAACAGTTTTACAAACCCCAACTACTTCTTCAGCCTGGGAGATAGAAATGGAGGTTGGTCAGTGTCATGATCCTGCTCAGCAGTCCCCTATGAGTGCATTTTAGGAATACACAGAATACTCCTCCAGGAATTATATATGAGGTTTATTTTTGATACTTTACACTTTGTTTCATACCAAGTGAATCAACTGAAGCACTCATTCTGTGGTTTGAGATTTCATAGATAATGGATCGTGGTGATAGTCCACAGTCCCACTGTGGCCTTGTAAAATGAAGGGCACAGTTACCATAATTTGCCCAAATTAAAATTTCCCTAGACAGCCCTCAAGAGTCACAGTCATTCTAATGAGTCACTTCCCAATTTTGGAATGCTTAGGGAAAGAAGGAATACCTACAGATGGCTCAGAGATTCAGTGTGGTCATCATTTCAGTGAAATGAGACAAATCAAAGGCAAGAAAAGGAAATATAAACAGTGCACTGGACAAAGTACAGGAGAGATGTGCCCAGATTATATCTGTCCTCTTCCTGGGAATCCAAAGGACAGCAATCAATTATCTGTACACTTGACTGCAGAGAGTGAAAACCTGGGAGACATGCTGCCCCCTGATGCCCAAGATTCAGCTTCCATTTGTAGACATGTCATGTCTGTGCTGCTGACATAGATTCCAGACCTCAGATCCTCTAAACTCACATGATCCTGATAGACTACAGTTGTTCACATGGCTGAGAGAACATGGACTGAGGAAAAAGGAAAAGCAAGAGTGTCAGTAGGCAGATAATAGGCAGAGCATGCAGATCCTCTCCCAAGAGCTGGAGATAGAGAGGAAATCCATTACAGCACACAGTGTATAACATCCCTCACCTGACTGTGCACTTAACTCACAAGGGCTCAATTACCTGATTCAGGAAAATCCAGCCTGAGTCAGCCCATCCTCCACTGGAGTCAGCACCCAGTCAGCAGCACTGCTTCTCTCCGAGAATGTCATGTGTAACACAGACAGGTAGAGATGAGAAGCCAAATCGAATGTGTTGTCCCAGCACTGAAATGCAGCAAACCAGGAGGAACCCAGCAACCTGAGTCTGTCAGTGAACTGAACAAGTAGTCTTCCTAATCCCCTTTCTGACCTTGATGCATGCTGGTGTCCTGAATCCCATGCAGGTCTCCTTTCAGGTCAACTTTGGGCTCAGGAAAGACCCTGTCTCTGCCCCAACCTATGGTACCATTCTATGAAACTGGGATGTGCAGGACCAAGAATAACACAGGAAGAAGAAATAGACTTAGAGACTTCAGGCCAGCAGTAAGCAGGCAGTCACTCACAGTCACCAGTGACACAGAGATGGTCAATGCGGGGATGGCATGGACAGCAGAGAGGAGGAGACCCATGTGTAGTCCTTGCTGTGGGGCTGCGTGCATGGTCTCCACTCAGGCCCTGCCTCCCTTCTGCCACACTGAAGGTGCAGCAGAGAGCCTGCCTGGGTTCCATGGGGATTTATGAGCCTTTGATCTTCAGAGGACTAGATCCAGCAAGGACTTCACTGACCTTCATGGCATATACGGTGTGCCCAGCAGTGCCCAACACATAAAAATCATTTGTTAGAAGGCTCAGGAATCATCTTTGAGTTTTCCTCTTGGCTGCCTGCTCTGACAATAGGCCTCTGATATGAGGAGAAAGCCGCCTTACCTATCCATGTGAAAGACTGTTTCCAGGAGAGATTGACCAATCATGAAACAGAGGGTGGATAAGAGACAGAGGTCAGCAAGTGACAAGTTCCTGTCCCAACTTAGTGGCCCCTCAAGATTCTGAGATCACATTTCTCAGCTCCATCAGACTGGGTCTGAGAAATGCTGTATTGGATGTCTTGCTGCCTGATCAACTGGATGACCACAAACCTGTACTGAAGGGGCACATGATCCAGCTGCCTTTCCCCGTTGGCCCTCACTCACAGGGACTCTCTGTCTTCCTCCATTACCATTCCCTCACCCATAGGGTACCCACTTTCTTTCCCTCAACTGCATGAGACTGCCTCCCACTGCTCAAACACCCACAGAAGCCATTGACTGGGTGCCAGTCATCCAACATGTTCTGACAAAAAAAAAAGTGTTCTCTTAAGGTCTAGGTGGTCTCATTCTTCTCTGAGTCAATGTTCTCAAGTCCCTCAATGCATACAAGATGTTTGTTTGCACACAATGATCAGATCATCGATCTTGAAGGAGAGGTCTACAGGTCATGTACATATCATGCTCAGCCCAGCATAGTCAGCTCCTGAGAGGGACTGAACATCACTGGCCCCTCCCTACACTTGGCCAAACAAAATACAGGCTTGAGGCTGGACACAGAGGACAAAGGGCAACCCTGACACTCCTTTATAAGGTGGCTGGATCCAAGTTTGGGGCTTGCTGATCCTAGGTGTTGTATTGAGTGTAGATTATTGGTCTCTGGGAAGCCTGGGCAGCAGTGGGGCTGTGATGGGGCTGCTGACAGAGACTGTTCTGTGGCCTGTGGCCATATTCACAGTCATCTTCATATTACTGGTGGACCTGATGTGCCGGCGCCAGTGTTGGTCTTCTCGCTACCCACGGGGCCCTGTGCCATGGCCTCTGCTGGGTAACCTGCTCCAGGTGGACCTAGATAACATGCCGTACAGCTTGTACAAGGTGAGTGACTTAGTGGTGGATGGTAACTGAGGGTATGTCATCTGTAGCAGCACATAATCAGGTTTCAGCCACAGGCCAAACAGGGATCTGGGACTCCAAACACCTTAGCAATTTTTTGGTGACATCCACTGGGACTTTATAGGGTAAAAGTTTTAAGGGTCAAAGTCCAGGGGGTGAAACAGGATATGAGGGCAGGGTTCAGTCTAATTGGAGAGGGAAGCATCCATAGAGGTCTCAAGTCCCTTATTGTCCTTTCAAAGATGAAGTCTTAGCATGGTGCGAGGTGTAGTGTAGCATATCAGTCAGGACACCGAGTGGAGAGAGGCGCTCTGGCTGCCTGAATCTCTTGCTGCTGTGTACTCTCTGGCCTCACTCCCCATCTCAAGAAACCAGAGTCTCTTCATGTGTAGGAAATGCTAACGGATGGCAGGACAGTTTTCTGGTTCTATCTAGGTCACAGCTGGGTGCCACATCTGCTGTGATTCCTTTGCTGAACTTAAAAGATAAGAAGCTGCAGTGGTAGGAATCCTCATGTGGGGATGGAGCTCAGTGAACAGCATTTCCTAGGATATATGAGGACCAAGAGTCAATAACAAGCAACACACACACACACAAACATACATGTACACACACACACATGCATGCGCATGGGCATGGATACACACATGCACACACACCCCTGCATGTGTGTGGGCAAAACATGTACATACACACACATATACACACTGGAAACCACATGTGCACACTCATTAACTTGCCCATGTTTGCACAGTGATCCTGGTTCTATGATCTCTGGGGACCTCCACTTGCTATGTGCTCTGTCTCTCTACTTCAGCTTCACAAGTGCTATGGTGACGTGTTCAGCCTGCAGATGGGCTGGAACCCTGTGGTTGTAATCAACGGACTGAAGACAATGCGGGAAGTGCTGGTGACCTATGGAGAGGACACTGCTGACCGTCCTGAAATGCCCACCTTTCCACACCTAGGATATGGACAAAAAGCTAAAGGCAATATGCTGTGTGGGGACACAGATGACATCAGAGCCAGACATGGGAGACAGTGAGCAGAGGAAGTTCAGGGCATGATGCAGGTGGTAATGGAGTTAAGAATTCCAACAAAATTCCCTGAAATCCATTATGGAGCCTCCTTAGCATGCTAGAATATGGTAGAGATGTGTTTGGGAGGAAGGGGTGAGGTTACAGGGGACATTGATCCAAGAGGAGAAGAGAAATGAAGTGGGGAAAGGGCGGCACAGCCAGGTGTCCTTACTTACACACAGATGTACCTGCAGGTGTGGTCTTTGCACCTTATGGGCCTGAGTGGAGAGAGCAGAGACGATTCTGTGTGTCCACCCTGCGCAACTTTGGCCTGGGCAAGAAATCGCTGGAGCAGTGGGTGACAGAGGAGGCTGGTCACCTGTGTGATGCCTTCACTGCCCAGGCTGGTGGGTGATGAGTGTGGGCTGCAAGTGGGGACAGGGAGATAGGGACAATATCCTGACTTTTACTTGCATCTCTCCCTCCCAGGGAGTCCCTTCAATCCTTACCCTCTCCTGGACAAAGCCATGTGCAATGTGATTGCAGCCTTCATTTTTGCCCATCGATTTGAGTATGGAGACCCTGGCATTATCAAGATGCTGGAAGTATTGAAAGAAAACACAAGGGAGAAAATTGGCTTGATCCCTGAGGTAGGAGGCTCAAGGGCAGGCTGAAGAGTGACTTATATGCTGTCCTGCTTCTCAGAGGAGACTGGAGGCAGGAGGATTGAAAAGGAGACATCTAGAAGTGTCAACCACAGGAATAGAAGCCTGGAGCTTGTCAAGCCTGCAGTAATGGGAAGGAGAGAAGTGGACCAAGTTTAGGGTTTCTAGAAGCTTAGAACCTGGCCCTCTGCCCACATGGAAGCCATCAATGCCTGTAATATGTCCAGGTAGAATATTCTTTTGTCCACCATGGGACTCATAGGGCCTGGAGGCTAGAACTAAGAAGGAATCAAGTGATGGTGGGAACCTGTATCCACCATGGAAACTAAGACTGGCTGAGATCAACACTAAGTCCATGTACTCAGGAGCCAGAGAGACGATCAGAGGGTAAGGAGCTTGCTAGGAAAGAATGGTACTTGAGTTTCACTCTGGGAAGACATGTAGTAAGGTCACTGACTCTATATGGTTTTCCCTGTTCTCAAGATCTTTGTTGTGCAACAAAATTCCTAACATCATGGGCACATGAATACACACTGAAATAATAATGAATATTAGTATTACAAATCTTATTTACTCAACTAATTAAATTAAAGCCAGCAATAAGTCCTAGAACATTTTATGGCTGTTACAGGTTGTGAAGATATTCCCAATTCTCCTGCGCATCCCAGGGTTGGCTGACAAAGTCTTCCCTGGGCAAAAGACATTTCGCACTATGGTAGAAAAGATGGTGACTGAGCACAAGAGGACCTGGGACCCTGAGCAGCCACCTCGAGATCTGACTGATGCCTTTCTGGCTGAGATGGAGAAGGTGAGAGACTGTGGGATCTGGTGTCCTTTGCACTGTGAATAACCAGTGACACTGAAGTGTAACCACCTTCAGTCGTCTGGAGGGTATTATGGGGCATTCCACTCTCTACACTGAGTCTGCTGTCTTGCTGTGTCCTAGGCAAAGAGGAACCCTGAGAGTAGCCTCAATGAGGCAACTCTCCCTCTGCTTATCCTTGACTTGTTTGGAGCTGGGATTGTGACCACTTCAATCACTCTGACCTGGGCTCTGCTGCTCATGATCCTGCATCCAGATGTGCAGCGTGAGTCTGATTGGGGCTGGGAAGGTAGGAGGAGGGTAGAGGCAAACTCCTGAGGCTTACTTGGGACACTTGTGCTTCTCTGCAATGGTTTAACCCAGACTCCAGTAAGGATGATGGCCATATTACTCCCATGGACCCTGCCCTTAACAGAGATGTAGCGAAGGGACAATGGGCACCCTCCACTGTTACTTTAATTTAGAGGATATTGTCCTTCCAGGCCGAGTACAACAGGAAATTGATGAGGTCATAGGGCAGGTGCGGTGTCCAGAGATGGAAGACCAGGCCCGCATGCCCTACACCAATGCTGTCATCCATGAGGTGCAGCGCTTTGCAGACATTGTCCCAGTGAGCTTGCCACACAAGACTTCTCGTGACATTGAAGTGGAGGGCTTCCTTATCCCCAAGGTAGGCCTGGGTCCCTCCAAATTCTAGTCAGTGTTGCCAGCTAGCCAGTGGCCTGAGATGTCCAGTTAAAAGGGACTGTATTATAGTCAACCCAATTTTCAACTCAAAAGAACCAACTTCTCCTGGGTAAGTACAGGAAGAGAAACAAGAGCAAGAACTATATTTTAGATTCCCCAGCTAGAAAGGCAAGCAAGGTAAAATATGGCAGTAGTGGTTATAACAGCTACTACCTACAAATACAGGTGACAGTGTGTGTACATCTGTCATTATCACATATCCCTGTCATAGTATTAATGAAAGCTGAGAAGATTCTAGGGCTGAGTTTATATGACAGCATCCAGTGTGTGAGGTAGAGGTTGTGCCTGTAAACTTGGTGACCAGGATCTAGGCAACCACAACCCAGTCCATGTTCACACCATGTGCCTCCTGCCAGGGGACGACCCTCATCCCCAACCTGTCCTCCGTGCTGAAGGATGAGACTGTCTGGGAGAAGCCCCTCCACTTCCATCCTGAACACTTCCTGGATGCCCAGGGCCACTTTGTGAAGCATGAGGCCTTCATGCCATTCTCAGCAGGTGCCTCTGTGGGGCCTGTCTGTCTGTCTGTCCCCAGGGTACCTTGGAGGCTGGAGCCCCAATCAGGTCCCAGACTGACTGAGCCCCTCTCCCACCCACAGGCCGCCGAGCATGCCTGGGGGAGCCCCTGGCCCGCATGGAGCTCTTCCTCTTCTTCACCTGCCTCCTGCAGCGCTTTAGCTTCTCGGTGCCTGCTGGACATCCCCGGCCCAGTGATTTTGGCATCTATGCATTTCCAGTTTCTCCAGAGCCATACCAGCTCTGTGCAGTGGTTCGCTAGTAAGGGACAGTGACTCCATCCTTCTCCTAGTGTGGACTGACTAATGTCTAATAAACAAGTTCTTTGTCTGCAACTGAGATTCCTGGTCCAGCCCCCACCCTTGTCTCAATTTTGTCCCAAGACAACAGTCTACAATCCTTCTTGCCCCTCTGTCTCAGCCCAACCTATGAGATTGAACACCTTTAATGTGTTGAGAATAGAGTTTTCTACTATAGGAGCAGTGGCCTTCACTAAAGCACACTGAAGGATGAGGCAAGAAGATTGCAAGTTCGAGTCCCGCATGGGCTACATAGCCTGGATTACTTAATGGGGACCCTTCTCAGAAAACCAGGGGTGGGTAGTCATCAGGGAGTTCTGAGGAAAAGATGTAGAAGGGAATAAAAGGGAGGAGAGAGGGGAATATCTAGATGAAGCAGGAGAAGAGGTAGTTGTGGCAGTGATCTGGGCTCGACCCTATTTCACATGAAAAGATCAACCAATAGTTGCTGGTTTGGTCACAAACTGCAAACTGAAGTCACACTCAAGGGTTCCAGTGAGGAAAGTGTGAGTGGCTTGTGCTGGAAATCAGCACAATTCTTGTTCTGGTGACAATGTTGACATAGGTCCCCAAGAGCCTGAAGAGCTGCAGATGGTGGTTAAGTCTGCTCTCACAACTATAATGATGCTGTCTTCACACTCGGACTT